GCTGTGTGCGGTGCCCCCCTCCACCATATTCCACCTTGGTCATATCGTAGCGGTGCTTAGGCGAAGCCCTCCGTCGTTAGCAACATCATCACCGTCACCACGCCGTCGTGCTGACAGAACTCTCCCGTGAAGCTCTGCTGGATCGGAGTTCGCGGGACGTCATCAAGCTGAACGTGTGCTGAACTCGGAGGTGCCGTGCGTTTGGTACTTGGATCGGTCGGACCGTGAAGACGTATGACTACATCAACCGCGTTGTGCTAACGCTTCCGCTTTCGGTCTACAAGGGTACGTGGACAACACTCTCCCCTCTCGTTGCTATGCATCACCATGATCTTGCGTGGGCGTAGGAATTTTTTTGAAATTACTACGTTCTCCAACAGTTCTAAGGTTCCCAAAACCGCGAAATCACTGATTAAGGAGTACTCGTTGCGAATAACACTAAATTTTTCCAGGTCGCGACAAGTGGCGCCCATGCAGCGCGCCACTTGTTGCAACTTGGGAGTTTTCCCTTTTTTCGTAGATTCGTTTATTCAAAACGCTTTATCTTTTAAACCGTGCGTCCAAATCTCGAACCGTTTTCACCATTGGATTCCTCGCGTCGAGATCTTCAAAGCTAGATCTCATGTTGATAGATTTTGACGAACTTTTTTTCACGAAAGAAACCGGACGAAAAAACCAGGGAAAAAACGACCGGGAGCATGGTTTTTTTCCTTTCCAAAAGAGGCACACCTGTGCCTCTCGCGAAATCACACCCGTGCCTCTCGTGGAAGTAAAACCGTGACTCTCGTGGAAGGAAAAAAAACAGAAAACACATTTTTTTTTCGTTTCCGAGAGGCACGGCCGTGACTCTCGTCAAAGCACAACCGTGCCTCTCGCGAAAGCAAAACCGTGACTTTCATGAAAGAAAAAAAATAGAAAACGCATATTTTTTCCCTTTCCGAGAGGCACGGCCGTGACTCTCGCTAAAGCACAACCGTGCCTCTCACGGAAGCAAAACCGTGACTCTCGTGAAAGAAAGAAAAAACAGAAAATGCGTTTTGTTTTTCCCTTTTCGAGAGGCACGGCCGTGACTCTCACGAAAGCACAACCGTGCTTCTCGCGGAAGCAAAACCGTGACTCTCGCGAAAGAAAAGAAAAACAGAAAACGCGTTTTTTCGTTTCCGAAAGGCACGGCCATGACTCTCGCTAAAGCACAAGCGTGCCTCTCGCGGGAAAAAACCGTGACTTTCACGAAAGAAAAAAAAGAAAACGTGTTTTTTTCGCGCAATTTTTTTTCAAATTTTTTTGGTCGAAAAGCTAAGGAAGACCGGGGGGAAACCAAAACGTCGAAAAAACCCGAAAAACCGTTTAAAAAGCCTAAAACACGTGTGGAAAAATAAAAATAAAATTCAGAAAGAGCGTCCAGAGTGCGACACGTGATGAATGACTGAGAGCGCACCAAGTGACGCTGATTGTTGCGAGGCTTCCGAAGAAGCGCTCGTTAACTAGTTGCTCCCCCAAAACCGCTTGGCTGCACTGTTTAAATCTGAAAGTGGGCCGGTCCATATTGGTAGCTCGCATCGCTGCTCTATGCGATTGCCCGACAGTTCGCCGCAACAAGCAGCGAATAGAGTTTTTCGTGTCTAAATATAGAAAACCCTGAAGTTGTGGCGAGTTGTGGGTAAGAGATTAAGGCTGGATTTGACCCAAACCACATCAGCAAGTTTGCAGCGAAGGATGATATGACTTATGTCCTTAGTGGCTGGGCAAATATGACAACCATTATGTTGCACAACTTTATTCTATTAGAAGTATAAACATGATTAGGATAGATATAAAGAGATAGAAGATATAATTATTTAAATAGTATATCATGTCTTGCCTTGTACTGCAAGACTCTTCTCATGTTGTATTCTCTCTATATATAACCCTAGGAGGGTCACATCAATATAGCAAATATTTTAGGTTCTATATATTTCACATCGTATTAGAGCGGTTTGTCCAACGACGCTGATCCTAGGACCTTCAATCACTTCCGCATCTCACCACCTCCGGGGAGATTAATCTTCTCTCCCCGAGGCGCGGCATCTGATCGAAATCAAAGATGAGATCGTCTCCGTAGATTAGTTTCCCCAAATGATAAGTGCCACATGTGTGGCACGAAGTAACATCGCCCTGACGTTTTTTACAACTAAAATTGCCATCTGACCCCCAAAACCGCTTGGCTGCACTGTTTAAATCTGAAAGTGGGCCGGTCCATATTGGTAGCTCGCATCGCTGCTCTATGCGATTGCCCGACAGTTCGCCGCAACAAGCAGCGAATAGAGTTTTTCGTGTCTAAATATAGGAAACCCTGAAGTTGTGGCGAGTTGTGGGTAAGAGATTAAGGCTGGATTTGACCCAAACCACATCAGCAAGTTTGCAGCGAAGGATGATATGACTTATGTCCTTAGTGGCTGGGCAAATATGACAACCATTATGTTGCACAACTTTATTCTATTAGAAGTATAAACATGATTAGGATAGATATAAAGAGATAGAAGATATAATTATTTAAATAGTATATCATATCTTGCCTTGTACTGCAAGACTCTTCTCATGTTGTATTCTCTCTATATATAACCCTACGAGGGTCACATCAATATAGCAAATATTTTAGGTTCTATATATTTCACATCGTATTAGAGCGGTTTGTCCAACGACGCTGATCCTAGGACCTTCAATCACTTCCGCAGCTCACCACCTCCGGGGAGATTAATCTTCTCTCCCCGAGGCGCGACATCTGATCGAAATCAAAGATGAGATCGTCTCCGTAGATTAGTTTCCCCAAATGATAAGTGCCACATGTGTGGCACGAAGTAACATCGCCCTGACATTTTTTACAACT